TTCAAATCCCAGTACCCACATGGCAGCTAACAAGTGTCCATAACGCCAGTCCCAGGGGATTCGACAGCCTCTTCTGACCTCTGCAGGCATTGCATGACATGGGTGCACTTACCTACGTGCAGGCAATACACGCATATACATAAAATAAAAATAATAAATAATTTTTTTTTAAAAAAACCCAAAAAACTGAGTCTCCTCCCAGGAATTGTCAGTTACCAATAGTTCCTCAGCTAGGGCTTGGGTCTTCTTGCCCACCTCCCCATTTGATGCTGTTTTTTTCTTTTTCTTTTTTTTGTCTGACTTGCACATGCTGTCACAGCACTCTGGGTTCATATGTGCAACTGCATGTTGTGTCTCAAAAACATGGTTTTCTTGCATGCATCCAAGAGCTCTGACTCTTATGCTCTTCCTGCCCCCTTTTCTACAATGATCCCGAGCCTTGGGAAGGGAAGGTGTGATATAGGTGTTCCATTTAAGATTGAGCACAGTTCTTATTCTTTTCATGTTGATCATGAAAGACAGCATCTCCAAGAAATGGTGCTGGCAAAACTGGATCGCCACCTGTAGAAGAATAAAATTAGACCCTTATCTTTCACCTGCACAGAAGTCAACGCCAAATGGATCAAAGACCTCAACATGAAACTCCAAAACTTAGAAGAAAGCATAGGCTGTACCCTACAGGATATAGGTGTAGGAAAGGAATTTCTAAATTAGACATCCATTGCTCAGGCAGTAAGGTCAACAATCAACAAGTGGGACCTCATTAAACTGAAAAGCTTCTGTACAGCAAAAGGAACAACCAAAGAAGTGAAGAGGAAATCCACTGAATGGGAGAAAATCTTCACCAGTTACACATCTGACAGAGGATTAATATCCAGAATATACAAAGAACTCAAAAAACAAAGAAACAAGAAAATAGTTTTTGGTTTATTCATTTATTTGGGGGTATGTATGTATGGTGTATACACGTGTGTGTGTGTGTGTGTGTGTGTGTGTGTGTGCGCGCGCGTGCGTGTGTGTGCTCACTGTGTGCATATATGGAGACCAGAGGTTGATTTCAGGTATTTTTCTCTATTGTTCTTCACCTTATTTTCTAAGGTAGGTTCTCTCACTGAACCTGAAGCAAGCCCCAAGAAACCTCTTGTCTCTTCCTCCCTAGCACTGGGATTATAGGTGCAGTGTGCTTTTTATGTGAGTGCTGAGGAGCTGAAGTTGGGTCATCATGCTTGTTTAATAAGTACTTTACTAACTGAGGCATCTCTCTATCCTCTATTTTAGCAATATTAATACTGTCTATTGTACTATATTATATATGTATATAATACATATATAATACATATATATATAATACATATATTATGGAAAGGTTTATATTCCCAAGGCACAGGAAAGCTCTCCAGTTGGTAAATACACTTTAAAAAAATATAGTGCTTAGCCAGGCATGGTGGCACAGGCCTTTAATCCCAGCACTTGGGAGGCAGAGGCAGGCGGATCTCTGTGAGTTCAAGGCCAGCCTGGTCTCCATAGTGAATCCAGGACAGCTGGGGCTACAGGGAGACCCTGTCTCGAAAATACAAAAAACAAAAAAATTAAAAAAAATTTAGCTCAATAAAAAGGAGAAACAAGTCTGTGTGGGTGTATGGGTATGTGTATTCACATATGCATATGCAAATTGATAGAGAATGCTAGCAAATATAGCACAATACTAACATTTGATAGATTTGGGAGTATTCATATTATTACTTTTTCAGTATATTTAAAAATCTTCAATATAAAAAAGTTGGGTGAAAAAATACCACATGTTGGGCTAGGAAGATAACTCACTGAAATGCTTGCTGAGCAAACACATGCTCCAGAGTGAATCCTCAGCACCCACATAAAAAGCAAAGTGTAGTGGTGCATTCTCGTAATTCCGGCACTGGGGAAATAGAAACAAGTGGATCCTTGGGGCTTCCTGGCCAGCCAGTCTAGCCTGATCAGTCCCAATGAGAGATCCTGTCTCAAAAATAAATGTGCACAACTCCTGAGGAATGACATTTGGATTGACCTCTGGCTTCCATGTGCATACGTGTGTGTGTGTGTGTATATACATGCATACATATGTACATCTGTATACAGTCACACCCACACAGCTGCACATACCAGCTCTCATACCAAAAAAGGCCCTTTATACTCTCGAAGAAGTATTGTCATGTTCGTGTGTAGATTTCCAAAAGCTGGCAGTGCTTACTCCTGATCCTTGGCTTCAGAGTGTTCAAGTATGAAATCATTTCTACATATTATACAAAACCAGCATAGTTAGATTTGCTTGTTTTAGTTAGGTGCTCTGTTTTCTCTTCTCTCTCTTCTTCCTCTTCCTGCCCCCTCATATTGGCTGTTGAACCTAAGGCTTCATGTATGGCAAGAAAGTGCTCTACCATTTAGCTAAGTTTCTAGCTCTGTTTTTATTTTAAAATGGAGTCTTACTGAATTGTCCATGCTGTGCTTGAACTCATACTGTAGCTCATGTAGGACTTGAACTTATGATTCTCCTACCTCAGACTCCTGAGGAGTTGAGATTATATGCCTATACAATTAGGCCTAACTCATTGGATATTTTTTGTAGCAATTATTTCTATTTAGTACTTTATAATTTTATTTCCCATTAAAATAGGGCATAGTGCCCCATGCCTTTAATCCCAGCACTTGGGAGGCAAAGGCAGGCAGATCTTTGTGAGTTCGAGGCCATCCTGGTCTACATAGTGAGTTCCAGGCCAGCTGGAGCTACAGGGAGACCCTGTCTCAAAAAGACAAAAAACAAAACAAACAAAAACCCCAATATATCATGTAAAATATTAGTATAATATTAAACAGATACTTTTAAAGTATTTGAACAACAGTAAATTAGGGAAATTCTTGGAAAAATTAATGAAGTTGTCAAATACTTTGCTAAAACGCTTGTTTTATTAACCTACTGTAAAAGTCACATAGAATAATGCCATATTCTATTATATAATTTTGTCAACAATTATGTAAAAAGTCTCCTGTTCCAGTTTGTTCTAAGCAAATGCTCTACAGCTGAGCTCCTTCCCAGATGTTCCAATCTGTTCTAAGAAGTGCATATTTGTATTAATAACCAAATATTATTACATGTAAAATAAATATATTTCCCATTATAATCTATAAAAGTGTGGCTGCTGTCCTTGCTTTATGATCCTCTTTCTGCTGGAAATCATCAAGTGTCTTATTCTATTTCTGAATTATCACAGAGCAGGCATTCAGTCAGTGGTGACCTGGGACAGTGGAAAGAACAGTGGACCCGGGAGGGAAGTGAGCAAGATTGGAGCCCTCCTTTTCCTGAAGTGAGGGAGTTGGCCAGAGAGCCTGATAAATATATTTTTTCTTTTAAAAATGTATTTATTTTTATTCCTTTATGTTATGAGTGTTTTACCTGCATGTTAAGTGCACCAGTGTATGAAATTCCCATAGAAGCTAGAAGAGGCCATCAGATCCCCTGGAATTGGAGTTACAGGTGGTTGTTAGTTGCCATGTAGGTGCTGGGAACTGAACCAAGGTCCTCTGCAAGAACAGTCTATTCTCTTAAGCACTGAACCATCTCTCTACCCCTTAGCTTTTCAATAATAGTAAAGATGTAATTGATAGGTCATGAGCATCAATGGCTGGGGCTCCTCCCTGGATACTGCTCAGTCTCTCCAAAGCATTATTATATTAATATATTATTATAGCCAGTACTATTTCTTTTGCTATTTGTTTATTCCCACAGCATTTATAGAGGGATCATGATGGTTGCAAAGTTCTGCTGGGGCCAGGGTCATTCAAAAGTGATCCTTGCTCCATCTTCCCTCCTTCCTGTGCCAGGCACTGTGTGTGTAGCCCATCAGGAATCCCTGTCTAGATGCCTACTGCTCTCATTTGCCTTCCTCTTTTCCCTGAAGCTGACTCTGGAGCTGCTTCGTTTCACTGTGGGAAGGTGAAATGACAAAAGTAGCATTGACAAATATTTATATGAATTATGTATCACTGCACAATGCCCCCTCCACTAGCTCTGGCACAAATGCCATTAAAGTACTTACACTCCTCTTGCCTCAGCTATATTGCTCACAGAGTCCAGCGACTCCAGGATTCCTGATCTGACCACTACCTTATGATCTCAAAATATATATTACAGAGCTATAGTCATAAAACAGCTCCTGAAAACATAATATCAAATTCCATATGGAAACACAAAAAAACTCAGAGTAGCTAAAATAATCCTGAACAATAAAGGACAAGCTAGAGGCATTACCATCCCTGATCTCAAGTTACATTACAGAGCCATAGTATTAAAAACAGCATGGTACTAGCATAAAAACATTAATCAGTGGAATAGAATTGAGGATCCAGATTTAAATCCACACATTTACAGTCACCCGAATTTTGACAGAAGTGCCAAAAATATACACTGGAGAAAAAAAACCAGCATGTTCAACAAATGGTGCTGGTCAAATTGGATAAGGGCATGTAGAAGAATAAAACTAGATATCTTAACTCTCACCATGCACAAAACTCAAATGGATCAAGGACCTCAACCTAAGAACTGATACCCTGAACCAGATAGAGGAGAAAATAGGGCACACATTGGCTCTTAAAGGCACAGGAGGGGACTTTCTGAACAGGACTCCTGTATGTCTGATTTTTAATTGAAATGTGTTTTTCCTATTTTCACTTGTTTTAAATAACTAACTTCTATGTTTACCTTTAATTACTAAAGACTTTCTTTTAGCCATAATAAGTCTGAGGTGGTCATACATAGTGAGAACTGCAGATTGAGATTCGTGACCAAGGCTTGTGCTGGAATTGTAGTTTCGGGAATCATTAGCATTAAATAAGCTTCATGAGGGACCCATATGTTCTAAGATTCCTTTAAGGGATTATTGGAGGATGAGGATTTAACTCTTCTTTTCTCTTACCACTTGGGCTCCCCTGATTTAGAGCCATAAATGGAACAGTCTTGTGAGTTAAAACACACCCATAGGAGTTGCTTCGGCATTGCGGTTGCTGCTCCTTGTGGAGAGTGTGCGGTCACCCAGCCAAGATGCCTGAGGAAACGCAGACCCAGGACCAGCTGATGGAGGAGGAGAAGGTGAAGTCCTTCGCCTTCCAGGAGGAGATAGCCCAGCTGATGTCGCTGATCATCAATACCTTCTATTAGAACAAAGAGCTCTTCCTGCAGGAGCTCATCTCCAACTCATCAGGCGCACTGGATAAGATCAGGTACGAGAGCCTGATGGACCCCAGCAAACTCGACTCTGGGAAGGACCTACACGTCAGTCTCATTCCCAACAAGCAGGAGCGAACCCTCACTATAGTGGACATGGGGATCGGAATGATTAAGGCTAATCTGATCAGTAACCTAGGCACCATTGCCAAGTCGGACCAAAGCCTTCATGGAGGCTCTGCAGGCAGGGGCTGATATCTCGATGATTGGCCAGTTCGGCGTACTTAGTGGCTGAGAAAGTGAAGGTGATAACCAAGCATAATGATGACGAGCAGTATGCTTGGGAATCCTGGCAGGGTGGGGTGCTCCTTCACCATGTGGCCGACTGTGGGGAATCTATGGGTCCTGCAACAAAGGCTGTCCTACATCTGAAAGAAGACCAAACCGAGTACCTCCTGAAGGAGAATAAAAGAAATTGTGAAGAAGCATTCTCAGCTTATCAGCTATCCCATTACACTGTTTGTGAAGAAGGAACAAGATAAAGAAGAAATGAGGCAGAAGAAAAGGAGGACAAAGAGGAAGAGAAGGAGAAGGAAGAGAAGGAATCCAATGACAAGCCTGAGATAGAAGACATGTGTTCTGATGAGGAAGAGGAGGAGAAGAAGGATGGGGACAAGAAGAAGAAGAAGAAGATCAAGGAGAAGTACATTGACCAAGAAGAGCTCAACAAAACAAAGCCTATTTGGACCAGAAACGCTGATGACATCACTAATGGGGAGTACAGGGAGTTCTACAAGAGCTTGACCAACGACCGGGAAGAGCACTTGGCAGTGAAGCATTTTTCAGTTGAAGGATAGTAGGAATTCCGAGCTCTTCTTTTTGTCCCAAGATGTGTTCCTTTTGATTTGTTTGAAAACAGAAAGAAAAAGAACAACATCAAGCTTTATATTCGCAGAGTGTTCATCATGGATAACTGTGAGGAGTTAATCCCACAGTATCTGAGTTTCATTAGAGGTGTGGTGGATTCTGATGACCTCCCTCTAAATATTTCCTGTGAAATGTTGCAGCAAAGCAAAATTTTGAAAGCCATCAGAAAGAATTTGGTCAAAAAATGTTTAGAACTGTTCACTGAACTGGCAGAAGATAAAGAGAACTACAAGAAGTTTTATGAGCAGTTCTCAAAAAACATAAAGCTTGGAATTCATGAAAACTCTCAAAACCGAAAGAAGCTCTCAGAACTGCTCTGCTACTACACCTCTGCTTCTGGGGATGAGATGGTTTCTCTCAAGGACTCCTGCACCAGAATGAAGGAAAACCAGAAACACAGAATCTATTTTATCACAGGTGAGACCAAGGACCAAGTGGCTAACTCTGCCTTTGTGGAACAGCTCTGAAAGCATGGCTTAGAAGTGATATATATGATTGAGCCCATTGATGAGTACTGTGTTCAACAGCTGAAGGAATTTGAGGACAAAACTTCAGTGTCAGTCACCAAAGAGGTCTTGGAGCTTCCAGAAGATGAAGAAGAAAAGAAGAAACAGGAAGAGAAAAAGACAGAGTTTGAAAACCTCTGCAAAAGTATGAAAGACATCTTAGAAAATAAAGGTTGAAAAGGTGGTCTTTGTGTCAAACAGATTGGTGACATCCCCTTGCTGTATTGTCTCAAGTACATATGGGTGGACGGCTAACATGGAAAGAATCATGAACGCTCAAGCGCTAAGAGACAACTCCACAATGGGCTACATGGCAGCAAAGAAGCACCTGGACATCAACCCCGACCACTCCATTATCGAGACCCTAAGGCAAAAGGCAGAGGCCAACAAGAACTACAAGTCCATGAAGGATCTAGTCATCTTGCCGTATGAAACTGCACTCCTGTCTTCTGACTTCAGTCTGGAAGATTCCCAGACATATGCTAACAGGATCTACAGGATGATCAAACTTGGTCTAGGTATTGATGAGGACGATTCCACTGCTGACAAGATCAGTGCTTCTGTGACTGAAGAAATGCCGCCCCTTGAAGGAGATGATGACACCTCCCGAATGGAAGAAGTGGACTGAGCTGCACCACATGTCAGTACTTACCTTCATTCCTTCCGATAATGTATTTTCCAGGATTTTTTGTTAGCATTTAAGAACCTCTGTGACATGATAACTTAAGGGGAAGATAGATTTCCTTCTACCTTGAAGTGATACTATGATCCCTTAGGCAGTAAGTGAAGCTAGCCATGCTTTTTCCAATTTCACCTTGGCTTATTTTAACAAGTTAGTTTGTTGTAGGTTGTAATGTAACCTACTATGGTCTGAAGTGTTTAGCTATCAAGCTGGATTCCTTAGTAGACCAAAGTCACTTGTCATTAAAGTGTTCCGAGATACATCTTCATGTTTAAAAGAAATTTGTTTGAATGGCTTGCGTTTCTTCTTCTAGAATTTCTGTAAGGTTTCCATCCCCTGTAGTTACTCTGTATGTACTAGTCCTAGAAATAAGTATGTAAGAAGAAACAGCTTGATGGGAGGAATCCCCCACATGGCTTGTTTTCCAAAGTGTGAGAACAAAACCCCAAGCTTCCCTAGGTCTTGTAATTCATCAAGGCTTGTGAATAATGGAAGTGGAGTGTTCAAGTCACATTCTTCAAAGGTAAATACAGATAAGAAAAAGAAAACACACCACAAAACAAAACATACCCCAAAACAAAATAACTTTTTGTGTCTTCCAAGTTAGGAAGGAGAAGGAATGGAAGGAGAATGACACTGATCAGACATACTCTGATGTCAATATGAATAAAGAGTCTTGAGAGCTAAAAGAACCCTTTAATTGTAGTTATACATATATATGCATGTAAAGTTTGCCATTTTAACACTTTTAAGTGTACAGTTAATTCGTTGGCATTATGTTCCTGTGTTATGCAAACCATTACTTCTGTTTCTAAAGTTCTGTCACCCTAAACAGAAATCCTCTAACCACTGAGCAGCAGCTCTTTTCCCTTCCCTCTCATGCCCTGATAACCTCTAAACTATTATCTTTCCAGTTTGCCTATCCTAGATATTTCTTACAGTGTTCACTGTTTTGTATCTGGCATATTTCACCTTCCATACGTTACAGCACATAGCATAATGCTGTCCATTTTGCAGCTAACTAATATTCTATTGTGTATGCTACATTTTGTTTAATCTATACATGTATGTTGATGGACACTTGAGGAATTTCTACCTTTTGGTTATTGAATAATGAATTATGCTACAATAGCCTTTAGTGTGAAGTATTTGAGTTCCTGTTTTGAGTTTCTGTGTGTGTATATGGATGTCCATAGTCATGTGTGTACATGCGCATGTGGAGGAAAGAGTTTGATGTCAGGTGTCTTCCACTATTGCTCCCCACCTTACCTTTTTAAGATCATCGCTTATTGAACCCACAGTTCACCAGTTGTCTAGACTGACTGACCAGATGCATGCAACCATGCATGGAAGGTATTTTACTGACTAAGCCATCTCCTTGGTTCCTCAATGCTTTTTATATCCATATAGAAAGGAGTAGAATTGCTAAGTCATATGATAATTCCATGCTTATCCTTTTTTTCTTCAAGAGAGATATTTAAAGCGAGGAGGGAGTTATTAAATACATAGAGGAAGTTAGCAAATAGAAAACAATAATTAATTTTTTAAATTTTATGTGCATGAGTGTATTGCCTGCACGTATGTGAATGCACCCATGTCATGCAATGCTGTGGAGGTCAGAAGAGGGCTTTGGATTCCCCTGGAACTGGAGTTAAGGATGGTTTGTAGCCACCATGTGGGTGATGGGAATTGAATCCGGGTCCTCTGCAAGAGCAGTCAATGCTCTTAATCACTGAGCTTTCTCCAGCCCCATTACATGTCTTCTTTACTGAAGTATCATTGGAGCTTGCCTGGCTGTTCTTCAGGGTTGTCCTTTCTATTACCTACCGCCTTTTAAAAATCTTGGAGTCGCAGGGCGTGGTGGCACATGCCTTTGATCCCAGCACTCGGGAGGCAGAGGCAGGCAGATCTCTGTGAGCTCAAGGCCAGCCTGGTCTACATAGTGAGTTCCCGGGCAGCTGGGGTTACAAAAAGACCCTGTCCTAAAAAAACCAAAAAAAAAAAAAAAAAATCTTGGAGTCATTCTGGCCTACTTGCCCAGTTCTCTTTGACACAGAAGACCTGAGGGCTTGGGTGGCAGAGCACTTCTCTAACAATTCAAGTAAATTGATATGGATAAAATTTGCTCTGTCCCACTGGGAATAGATATGCCTGCCAGCAGTTTTGCTTGTACTTTTAGTATAAATTTGTTGGAATAGAAACTTAAAGGAAACAGTCACAAACATTGTTTGCACTGTTGTCCACACAGGGGTTACCAGGCCTCTAGCATGTCAGTGGCTATGTGTTCTTCTGCTTTGCTCCTTAGGTGATCGAAGCCTGGATGTTCCCTGGAATCTCTCCCCCAGGCTCTTGTAACACTCTTTTTAGTATGATGTTCCCTTTGCTTGCTGTGTACTTTCAGCTTCATACTTGGCTCCCTAGATTATTTTACAATCTACATTTCTTGAGCTTATTGGCAATGAGACAACACCTCTCAGTGATAGCATCATTTCTCCTGTCCTTTCCACACTCACTGTCAGTCCTTCTTCTACTCTTTCCTTCTAGCCGACCCACAGATTTCTTTCTCTGTTATGTTCCATGTCAGACCAGTCCATGCTAGTGACAGCATATGGACTGAACGGTCATATTTGTTTATAGTTACACCTCATTGCCTTAGAAATCAGAGGGACTGGAGAGATGGCTCTCTGGGTGAAGACATTTGCCACCAAAGCTCATGACCTAAGTTAAATCCCTATGACCCCCATGATAGAAGGAGAGAAGCAACTCCTGCAAGTTGTCCTCTCCCCTCCACATGCACACTATGACATTTCTGCCCTCGCCCCCACATACACAGTAACTGATTGATTTACTAAGTGATATGATATTGTTAATAAAAGGAAGTTACAGAAAAATGTCCAGGATAGATCCTACAGGAGCATATGCTGTTCTTAGCTTGTGATTCTCTGTCCCTCATAGTTCTTGGTCAGGCATTTCACATTACTTACAGATATTTCCTGACTTTGGATGAAAGTGCAAGTTTGCTTTGGGTTAAACTTCAAGGCAAACTTACTTTACTTTTGATGCAAATGATTTCAGCCCACCAGAGTACTCTGACTTTCTCACTGGGCAGAAGCTCTAATGAGCAGTTACATGCCTTTGATTAAATAAGAAGAATGGGAATTAATTATACATGTAGTTGTTACTAAGAATACTCCAATATGAGACTCTAGACAAAAATTAATTGAAATTTTTGCTAACTAAAACCTTCTGTGCTTAAAAGGCTAGAGGCAACTGATCTAGTTCATTCCTTTGCTTCACAGATGAGATAATTGAGACTCAGAGAAGTGACTTGGCTTTTCCAGGGTCCAAGAAGTAAGTGAGGTAGGACTGGAGAGATAGCTCAGTGGTTAAGAGTACTGCTTGCTCTTGGAGAGGATGGAGGTTTGGCTCCTAGCACCCACATGGTGGCTAACAACTGTCTGTAATTCCAGTTCCAGGAGATCTGACATCCTTTTTTGACCTCCATGGGCATTGCATGTGTGTGATGCACTTACATACATGCAAACAAAACACTCTGTGCTGGATAGCTTTAGCGTCAACTTGACATACCTGGGTTGAGGGAGCCTCGATTGGGGAATTTCCTCTATTGGACTGGCCTATGGCCATGTCTGAAGGGCATCTTCTTGATGAGTGATGTGGGAGGGCCCAGCCCACTGTGGGTGGTACAACCCCTGGGCAGGTGGGCTTGTGTTGCATAAGAAAGCAGGCTGAGCAGGGGCCAAGGGAGCAAGCCAGTAAGCAGCATTCCTCCATGGCCTGTGCTCCAGTCCCTGCTTCCAGGTTCCTGCCCTGAGTTCCTACCTTGGGCTCCCTGATGAACTACGACCTGGGAGATATAAGCTAAATAAACCCTTTCCTCTCCAGATTGGTAGTGGTCAGAGTGTTTTGTCACAGCAATGAAGAAATAAACTAAGACAGATTGGTACCAGAGAGTGGGATATTGCTGTGACAGACCTG